GGCGGGGCCGGATTACTTGGGATCCATAGCAGAGGAGGGTGTTGCGTCGGGGAGGGCTTTTCAATGCCCAGTCACCAAGAGTAACCCTGGAATCAATACAGATTCATTTTAAATCCTCAGCTAGTCACCCCTGAGTACCCAAATTGATTCTTGAGAGTTGCCACCGATTTTTTTTTTTTTTTACACTTATGGCTCTTTATAGTGGCTACATCTTATAGATGTTATTTTCAACTCCTGTAAGGGGAGTGTTTCAAGGGCCTAAAAAAAAAAAAAAAATGTCATCTCTGTTTCATAGATGTGTCAGAACTAACAAATTATTTTGCTGAGGCAAATTCTTCAAATCAATTAAAAGCAAATCATACATTTTTATCTCAAATTTAAGAATAATTAAATTTTCAAGTGATTTTCTCCTAGATAAGATAACTATGGTAAAGTTGAGATTCTCTACCCAACAGACCGCAGTAAAACAGGTATCAGGAAACAGGATGTGAAATACCTTAGGATTCCACTGCTATGCACTTTCAGTTTATTTTCCTAAACACCACTTTGTGTAAACAAGCTTAACACATTAGGTCAACTTTACAATCTACTTTCAATCTCAAAAACTAAACCAAACACTCTGTAGCTGTTGGCATGGAAAAGAATAGGGCTATTTTTTTAAGATGCCAATAAACTTGAATAGATATTTGACTTTTTAAAAAATTTATCTTTATGGTTGAAAGTATTACAGATGTCTCCCTTTTTCCCCCCATAGACCCTCTCCTCCCTCCTCCCCTCCCCCAGCCTTCACCACACTATTGTCTCCCTGTGTTATGCATATATGCATATGAGTTCTTTGGTTAATCTCTTCCCCTCCCTCCCTGCCCCCTTTCCTCTGAGTTGAGAATTAAGTGGTAAATAAATTTCAACTATGATAACTTTTTTCTTATTCTGTATTTTAAATGATAATGAGTAAGGACACTTTTTGAGAGTTACATGTTTTTTAAATCATGTAATTATTACAAAAAGCTAATGCAGGTTACCCTGATATTTTGCATTATATGCAATCACATGTAGAGCCAGGCATTCTCTACCCATTTTCCTAAGCATGATATAGTCTATTATAAGCAGAGTATATTTAGCAAAATGTAAATGTCACTGGATATTATAAATAATTAGATTTCCAAGGCCTACAAAAGATAACAAACTCTAAACATTATTTAACAGTAAAGCGACATGAAGTTTTTAGAGACTTTTAACCTGGGGTGGTCTCTGTAGGCACTTGCATATTTTAAAAGCCAGTCTGAGGAGCTACAGAGCTAAAGGTTGTTGTAAATGTGATATACTGTACCTTTGGAATCCTCTTTCACTTTCTTCTAGAATCAAAGTAACTAGAAAGTAAATAGCAGTTTTACATGTATTACCTAATGGTAGGATTCTGGAAAAGTAAATATGATGCCCATAACCTTTATTACAAATATATGGCTACTCTCATAAAACTATAATTCTACGTAAGATTACACAGTGCCTGTCCTAAATCAGTTTTGGAATGGAGGCAAGGTAAGATGTATCCCATTTTATTAGGATACAAATGCATATCATAAATGTCAATGTGGGAATAAATGTTACAAATGCCAGTTATATACATACAAGCTAAATACCAAGATTAATCTTCAGTTATATGTTATCCTTCACATTAGGTTAGCAAGACAATGTGTCACATGCCAGAGTAATGAGTTCCTCTGGTTTTCTCAGAATGAGATTTGGTGTATCCTCTGTCATCAATGTCATCATTTATTCCCTTTACCTCCTCTCTATGTCTTCCTACCTTTTTCTCTAGCCTACAGAAAACATGCAGATGGTGCCAAAGAATGACTGTTAAAGAAAACCTAAACGTCCAGAACTATCCATGTGGCTTTAGCCACTGGCAATGAAATGAAGAGTCTTTGACACCAAACCTGTCATTCACATAAAATAAAACAAGAATCCTCAGAAGCAGGATAACCATATAATTTGTCACCCAAATAAGACATTTCTGAGAGTAAAAGAGCCTTCTATTCATAATTACATGTAAGCTTTGAATATTATAAACAAATCGGGATATCAAAGTCACCCTACTTGTGAGAGATTTCTAGGTATCACTGTAAAACATGGAAATGGAAAAACAAACTGACACCATGAACAGTGAAGGAAAAGCTTTAGTGAATGAAAGAGCTTTGGTACTAGGAACAATACCTGTTGATATTATTATATTTGACTTGAGAAGAGCTAGACTACCAGTTTGAATATATTAGACAACATAAAAACAATAAAAGAACAGGTGAGAAGGAAAATGGTGATTCTGAAGGTATTGCCTGCCAGGTCAAATGTCTCATTCCAAAATCTTAACCCTTTATTGCTAGTGTCACAACATTGTATGAAAAGCAACTCAGCCTGGTAGTGAGAGAATAAAGGGGGAATGTAGTCCTCAGGAGTTCCAGGATCTCCCAAGGTGGCTACTGTCACTGGTTCCCCAGTTATAACAGCAGCTGGCCTCTGAAACAATCCCTCCCAGTATGGTCCCAGGATATATGTTGCTCAATCCTATGAGGTATTTGTTAAAAGAATAGATTCCTGTGTTAACGCATATTCCCAGATTGCCAGATTGTATGTACTAAAATTTGAGTTTTACTGTGATTTCTTCAGGTCATTGTTATTCAAACATTTAACATCTGTTTGTCACTTTCACCATTTTTATCATGATAGCATAGTGTCTGCAATTAAAATTTAATTTAAATTAACTAGATAAAAGCATTTCCTCATAGGCTCGATGTGCTACTTATATTTTTCAAATACATGTGAAAAACAGCAAAAATTGTAAAAGGTTATCTCTGTATCATTTAAAACCATACTTCCCAGCCCCTTGGCAGTATGAGTAATTTTGACCAAAAAAATGCAAGCAAAAGCGAAGTGTGTCACATCTGGCCTGAGGCAGTGAAATACTTCTAAGTAATTCTCTGTCACTTTTAAGTTCTTTCTATAGCAAAGGAGGAATCATGAAATCAAAGCACCTTGATTATTAAATCTCCACATTAGGGACAGTGCTCTGGAAAGTTACCCAGACCCATAGCTAACTTTATCTGAGCAGAAAATAAACATATATTATGTTAAGCTGTTAGGTTTATTTGTTACAACAGCATAGGATAGCCTCTTCTGACTAAATGCATACATTTTATCTACTGTGCTTTGGGAATTGTGCTCCTGGATACGCATATAGCATGAACAAGTCACTGACACTGTATTCTTTCCTACCTGTCACTAAAACTACTTCAGCAGAAGTGGCTATGACAGCCAGGAGAGATGTGGATATTTGGGGGCTAAGTAAAAGATAAAGTGATTTCCTATGTAATTTTATAAGCGATGGGATATGTCCTTGGATTTTCCAGTTGAACATTGTACACAAAAATGATGTCATAAACAGTATTTACAGGCGAACAACATAGTACTACCTCTCAAGAATATTATGATTAAAACTGTTAGTAAGCCAAAGTACCACAAGAGCAATGATGAGGATTCTTTTTGTAACTAAAGATAAACTTTCTCTGCAGTGGCCATGACATTTCAGGTTCACTAATCCTTCTACTTTTGCTAGCCCTGCAGCATCTCAAATGTCCCAGTATGCCTGCTATTGCTGCTGTGGCCACCGTCATCGCTACTGCTGGACTTTGCAGGCGAGACTGCTGATGCATATATTGATCATTCAGTTCAGATGCCTTAAATCACAGAATCTGTGAGGGTTCCAGAAGTCTGATGGACTACTTCCCACATTCCCTGCTTCGAGAAGATGAGGAGCACCAGCTGCTTTCACTCAGTGGTTAGAGCGTCAGCCTGTGGACTGAAGGGTCTAAGGTTTAATTCCAGTCAAGGGCATGTACCTCGGTGGCAGGCTGATCCCTGGCCCCAGTCTGGGTACTGATGGGAAGCAACCAATTCATGTGTCTCTCTCACATCGATGTTTCTCTCTCTCTCTCCCTTCCACTCTCTAAAGAGCAATAGAAAAAATATCCTCAGTTGAGGATTTAAAAAGAAGAAAAAAGATGAGGAAAACATAACTAAATCACTCCTGATTTGTCTGTGGGGGGCATTCCATCAGTCAGTGCCATCTAGTATCCAATCCAGTCACCTACCTAAAAGAGATTTGGCAGATGTCATTATGATGTCATCATTTAGATAACAATTTAATAAATTGGCCTTTTATTTTTCCATTTTGACTGTTCATTAAATTTATACAAAGTATAGCAAAATGTATACTTTATAGAATTTCAAATTCTTTGTTTCTGACTTATACTAGGTTAATTCTCATTTGCTTTTTGGTCCTTGACAATAAAGAAAAGCAGAAAAAGCATGTTGAGCATTTTATGC